CATCCAATTTCTTCGCTAAGCCTTCCACTTTCAATTCATCACATCTGAACTTCAGAAAATGATCATGACATAAGCAAAAAATCAAAATCATCTTCGTTATGACAGGACCACTATGATCGTCAAATTTACACGAGAATCATCAGTTACCTCTCAATTTCAAGCGTCACTCGCCCTTTCAGTTCAACCAGCTCTTTTATTGTTTTCTCCATGTACCTTCCACCAAAACTTACAAGTTTTTTCAGCGACTTTGCAATGAATTTCTCGTAGAATCGAAGTAGTTTCAAGGTATCGACTAGTGTGCCGATTATGGGTTCATTTGCGTCGGTTCGTTTGATTGACGGTAGCTTTGAGGGTATCACCACTGATATTGTATCAATGTCTGTGTATGCATGAAGCACCTGAATTAAACTGATGATGCCATCGACAAAATAATACACACAAAATCAATTTACAATTAGCGGGATCACATAACATTTCCAGCCGACTTCTAAGATTTGGCCACTAGAATATCTCTCCGAATCAACTTGACAATATGAAATATTTTCGATGATATATTCCAAATATCAATTGGTTAGCAGTTGAATAAGGAATGGAACTTAATTATAGTCTCAATGTCGTCGAATACCTACCGCATTCTAAAGCTATATTCCAGGTCTGATTTGCCAACTCACATAATTTACTAGCCTCGAATATCAGCATAAACAAAAGTTTTCAGAATCGGCTGATCTCAAAGAATGAATCAATACGACCCGAAAAAGCTAACCTCTTGTTCTGCATCCTTTCGCAACGAAGAAACGTTCGTCGTCGGAAAGGAAGATTCTGAAGGACAATCGGCGACCGAATCGTTCGGATCAACGAATTTGGGTACGAGCAGCTCGAGGGCATTTCTCGCCTCATGTATACATCGCTCGATATCATCGCGTTTTTCGTTCATCTGATTCGTTACAAGCTCAAGGCATCGTCTTCCTCTCGCCTCCAGTCTTTGCTGCGCCTCTTCCGCACGAACTCGTTCGGCCTGTTTTGATTCAAACTTTTACTTTACTTCACTTTCATCGCCTAGATTTTACCGCTACTACCCACTGGTGAATGCATGAATGTGGGCGGTAGACTACGATATACTGTGCTGACTTTTCAAGTAGGCAATTCCCAGTGAGCTTACCGTTCATAAGCTTTCGTAATAATCGTAAATATAAGAAACTAAATCTTGAATTAAGGAACTGGTTTGGTTTCGTTTATAAGAAGAGACTGTTCATATGTACCTCGAGTTGAGCATCAGCTTCTTCAAAGTTGAACGATTTCGATGACCGCAAAAACTGGACGGTGTAATTGAGTTTTGGATAAGCAAATGCGAATTTCTGATGCCATTTCTTCACCAATTTCAGTGTTTCAATTTTGAGCGCATTCGATGCTTCTTTCGGTGCAGGCAACGGATAATGAAGAGGGTCGGTTTCGGCCGTGTAGATTAGGAAATCCTAAAAATCGCTTGGGAACGGCTCAATTCGCTTCTTAAATTGATCACATCAAAATCCGCAGCAATATCTTCTGGATGAAAGCAAAGAGTGACGACGAAACTAAGACAAATTCGAATGCTGCAAATAGGCTGATTGCCGGAAAGATATCATTTGGAGTATCGGACCGCTCAGCTAAAAACACTGATTACTTCA